AAACATAATAATAAAAAATGTTCATTGTGGTAAATGAAATGATAATTTGATCTAAGTAACAGTTTGTTTTTCTTCCTGTTTTGTAAAAAATCCTTATTTGATAGAAAAAAATGAGTATCTGAACTATGAAAAATCAGTTTTTAAAACCAAAACAACTTTTATGAAATTTAAATTCGCACACCTGTGATATCAGAAGTTATATATATATATGTACCACCAGTGTTGCAAATGTTGCAATGATGTTTGCATAATTAACATCAGAGCACAATAGAGGGAGCTAATAATAAGTGTAAATCTAATATTGCCCAGGCATTCAGTTAGTATGTTCTACACCAATCTGCAAACACAAGTATGTTTAAACACAGAATATTCACTGAACACAAATGCTTCTTGAAATGGTTTGATTTCATAATTATATTACACGTTTAAGTCTGTAAAGTAAGATTACTTTAATAATATGAAAACTACAGCATTTCCTCATGATAATAATTATTTTATTTCTGCAAGATTTTCACTCTGTCAGTGAAGCATTCAAGAAGCAAGGTGTAACACAGAGTAAAATTCAGTAGGTTTTGGGGCAACTTTACAAGAATCACATCTCCTGTGTCATAAGTCTCAACATAGGACACACAACTTTCCTTGTAAGTCAGTTTATCAGTAATTAGTCTATAAATCAATATGGGGATTCTACTGAATGGATTGAATACAAGTTACAGTAACATTGACTCATACCCATCAAGTTCATGGTATTAATAAATGATTGCATGATTATAAAATATTTATCTGGGTGTGAATAATTGGAAATAAATTAAGTTTTAGGTAATTTTTATCACTTAAGTACTACAATTGAATAGCAAAATAATATGAAGAGCTAGTTACAGTGTTAACACAGCAAAGGGTGTACCCAATTAAAGAATGCATTAGGCTGCTATGTCACAGATTATATTTTCAATCTTACTTCTGATGAAAAGAGAATCTATAATACAATCTTAGAAAGAAGTTATGGGATAAGCCTGTATCATGGGAGTAGTAAATACATACTGTTGGTTTTTCAAAAACATTAATATTAGACCAGTTCGAAGAAATCACAAGTAAAAAAAAAAACATAGAAATGAGCACCCTTGTATAGGAATCATACATGCCAACTTCAAAAAATGACTCAAGTACTCTTCTATTAAGCAAGCACCAAGTGGCTTGCATAACTAAGTACATAAAATTGTCAGTTAGGAACAGTCAGGAACCATGTGTGTAAAATTATAGCTCACCCTTTCAGTCATGAACAAATAAAAATTGTTATCAGGAACAAGACATAATACTGTAATTTACACTGTCAGTCAAGTAAAGATAACAATCAGAAACCAGAAAGATAATAATGTAACTTACACTGTCAGTTAAATAAGAAGAACAATCAGAAACCAGAAAGATAATAATGTAACTTACATTGTAAGCCAAGTAAAGATAACAATCTGAAACCAAAGAGACAATACTGTAACTTACATTGTCAGTCAAGTAAAGATAACATTCTGGAACCAGAGAAAAACAATACTGTAACTTACATTGTCAGTCAACTACAAATGACATTCTGGAACTAGGTAAATAAAACTGTAACTTACATTGTCAGTCAAGTAAAGATAACAATCAGAAACCAGAAAGATAATAATGTAACTTGCATTGTCAGTTAAGTAAAGATAACAATATGAAACCAAAGAGACAATACTGTAAGTTACAATATCAGTCAAGATAACATTCTGGAACCAGAGAGAAACAATACTGAACTTACATTGTCAGCCAACTACAAATGACAATCTGGAACTAGGTAAATAAAACTGTAACTTACACTGTCAGTCAAGTATGGATCACAATCAGGATGAGAGAGCAGAAGCTTCACCAATTCCATATGGCCATGTTCAGCAGCACACATCAATGCAGTGGATCCATCATTGTCTTGTAAGTTGACCTCGGCTCCAACTTCTACTAACATTTTCACAGTTTCCACACGCTTGTGGCTAACAGCTAACATTAAAGCAGTCTGGCCATTCTGAGAGAAAATTTACATAAATTCTTAGAAACTACAGAAGCATTTGTTGTAAAGAGCAAAATTAAATTATTTTTTTTCTGGTAATGGTAACTTAAATAATATTTAGTTAAATATTTATTTTATAATACTAATAATAAGGACAAAAAGTCTTTCTTGGAATAAAACAATTATAAGAAAATTTACTTCAGTGTTTCAGTGGCCATGGGGTTTTGTTTCCAGAACTTGATGAGACTTGAAATTTTCCCCCAAAAATGAAGGCACTGCACAAGTAGTAGTCATTCCACCAGACTGACCCACTTATTTAATACCATTTTACTCCCAAAAGAAATAATTAACAACAGCTGCTGTTGCTTGTTGATTTATTATCAGTAGAAAAAAAAATAAAGTCAAAAGTTGAAATGTTAATATATACACACACACATTTTCTTTTTCTGACACCTCTGTCTAAATCTGGAATGAGGGATTAATTAGGTAATATTAATCTCTGGTCAGAACACAATTCCTACTTAGATAAAAAGTAAGAATGAGCCCAGTAATAAGTATAGCTAATTGAATATACTTCTCTTGTACGTTCTTGCTTATAAAGATTAGAATGTATTGTTTCATCAGATGGGTACCCTGGGCAAACATTTACCCATCAATGAAAAGAATAACCAATAAAGCTCTTAACAGTGAACTGAAGAACAAATTCATTCAAACCTGGTTAAATTGCTAAATTCTATCCACACATTAGCCATTGTTGATAATTACATATACTTTTTTGATAGTTCTACTTTATGGCCTAATTCATTCATATATTTTTACATAATCAGCCAACTTAACCAGTTATAAAAAGGAAAATCTACTATAAAGTACCATTTTAAACTGAGATTTCTTGAGTGCCAAAAAAAAAACCTATTTAACCTTAAGTCTACATTTTCATAACTAATATTTTAATTGTGTTTTTATTTCTTAGCATTTATACTATCAAACTAGTAATATCACATTTTATTTCTACTACAAGTTGGCCTGAAGTGAAACATATTAAACATAAAAAAAATCAATGAACAGGTTTTAATATATTTTAATAATGTTCTTTTTTTCTTATACAGTATCTTAACTTATAACTAATTCCTTCAGTGTGCAAACATTTTGTAGAATTCCTTTACAGGAAACCATAATCACTTGGTCAACAATGGAATCATTGTGAAGCTATAGAGAAACTCCAAATATGGTACATATACATAAACAGGAAACCATAATCACTTGGTCCACAATGGAAGCATTGTGAAGCTATAGAGAAACTCCTAAAATATGGTACATATACATAAACAGGAAACCATAATCACTTGGTCCACAATGGAAGCATTGTGAAGCTATAGAAAAACTCCTAAAATATGGTACATATACATAAGCAGGAAACCATAATCACTTGGTCCACAATGGAAGCATTGTGAAGCTATAGAAAAACTCCTAAAATATGGTACATATACATAAACAGGAAACCATAATCACTTGGTCCACAATGGAAGCATTGTGAAGCTATAGAAAAACTCCTAAAATATGGTACATATACATAAAAAACAAACAACAGGAAACTGAGATGAGCTAATACAATTATCATAAAATTAATATTGTTATTTCTAATACTTAAGAATTAATGACTTAAATGCTTTTTATAATATTAATTAAAAATTATTTTATGCTATTGAACAAAAATACTACATTTTGCAAGAAGCAAGACACAAGTCACTGTAAAAGTCACAATGGTTATTTTTATTTAATGGGTTTGTTTTAAAAGCCAAAAGTCTCCAACCATATATCATCATTCACAGTTCCTAGATATTAATATTTTCAACCCAAATAGCACACACAGGCTAAAAAGCCAGGTCAGGCTAAAGGTAATTTTGAACTACTAACCAGACTGCAGTCAACCAGTTAGAACAGCCACCATCATAAGACCTTTGCTCAGTTTTTAACTAAATAAAAGAACAGAATATACTCTTATAATGCAAACAGAGTATTTGGTTTGTTCACTGGCTTGAGTCTTCCAACCTCAGCCTAGCATACTAACCAATAGGCCACATATGATGCTAAACTTTTGTGGATAGTGAAAACAATTAAGTTTCCCTTACAAATAAAAACTTCAAGCAGACTCTAATACATGATGTGATACAAATGTATAAAAATCATGATAATATGCTATAACTATATGTAGAAAAACACTTATCAAAGAATTTTAGTGGATTTTCATCTACAATTATACAAAACAAACCTGTGTTGCTTTGGTGTTAATGTCTCCAAGCTGAAATAGCCGCCGAATAACATCATGATGAGCATCATTTTTTACTTCTGCCAATGACACCAACATCATGCAATTGTATCCAGCCTGTGTGGAAAAGGAATCATGCATTTTCACAAAACAAAGTCATGCAGCATTGCATGGCTGCTAAGTAATGTCATGCCTTCTTACAGATAAAAACAGCTGAAACCACAAGCACTTAAGTGGAACACAAACAAAGCTTGGAAATCTAAAATGCATATTAATCACAAAAACACTAACAGCTTTTAATGTTACTGATAAAAACAGCTTGAAATGTGTTTAAACATTTACTAATAGATATCAACAGCATGGAACAATTGCAACAATTAGTTTCTCACATGCACAAAATGAAGCACTTCAATTTCTACCAGGAGTCACACAGCATGACACTCAACCACTTCTTAATGTTACATAAAAACAACATAACTAGACATGGTAACACACATATACAATTCCTTCTTTTACAAACATTTATAACCAAGATACATGTCATACACTATAGTAAGCAGCCTATGACACTAGCAGTAACAGCTTACCTTTAGTCTGATTACAGAAACTCAAAAACATGGTAACACACATATACAATTCCTTCTTTTACAAACATTTATAACCAAGATACATGTCATACACTACAGCAAGCAGCTTATGACACTAGCAGTAACAGCTTACCTTTAGTCTGATTACAGAAACTCAAAAACATGCAGGAAAATATAAATTTTTTTAACAGAAGAAAGCAAACCTGAAGCATTAATAGTGCTAACAAAAACACATCAGAATTTCAACCAATGTTAAAAATCTCTTAGTTGCATTATCTTATACTATTTTTTTCAAATTTAAAAAAAAATTGCCCTCATTCTATTAGTTCATGTTACACACTTGATTATAGTGTTTACTATTGTACTGGTTATTTCATATATAAAGTACAACAGTGTTTAACTGATGATTATTCTGTCCACTTCCTTCCGGCTATGAATGTTTTTAAGTTCTTCTAAATGTAAATTTGTAATATCAAAACACTGTAGATAGTTTACATACATGTCATACATGCCAATCTAGAGCTTGCCTAACCAAGCTCCCCTATATGGTATTGGGTAATTCTGACATGCTGTGTTCTCTATTTGAATGCATTTACAGTTCTTATTTATGCAGAAACATTAAGTTGTAATTGAAGCTTTAGTACAAATGAATATTTAAATACACTCTCATATATTATTACAACTAAAACATAATTTACAGAACATTTGTTTAGACTAGGGACATGGATAACACATGTGAAGCAGTTCCTCATCTGATGACCAACTACTGTTACCGAGTGTTACACTGAAGCACTTCAAAAATCAATTTATTGTAACAACACACATAGATCATTACTTCTGAATTCACAAGAACATAATGCAATATATATTTTTAAAAAAGTTGTTTACGTACACATGATTAGTGTCTATTTGGAGCAAATAAACCTATTTAAGGGTCATATAATCATACTTGCAACATACATATATCATATCATGCAAAATAGTATTGTTATATTTGTTAGCTTGTATTATTGTCATATGTTAACTTTACCATGGGATAAGGTTAAGTACCTTGGACCTTTGATTATGACAATGTATATTGAAGTAAATACAGAGCAAATCCTAGAACAATTAGATGTGTAGTCATGGTTATGTATTTCTAAAACTTAACAGTGAAAGTAAAGAAGAATGTATAACAATATGTCAACCACACTATATTTGTTATGCATATTAATTATATTAAGAATTCACAATTCTGACATGATAATTTATAAAGAATGTTCCCTTTATCTTTACTGAATGCCTTCTATCACACATTACTTCTGCTGAAAGAATTTAAAAGCAAAATACATTCTTTTCTCTTCTTTTTTTTCCAACTGAGGAAGTTTTACTGAAAAAGTGAAACATATTGATATGTTTTCTTTCACATGAGGGAAGCTGAAGTATTTTTCAGACAATTCATATGGATTCTGTCAGCCTTTTTTCTATGTAACATAGTTTAAGCTGTCTGGTGAAGGACTTCTGACAGAAATGTTGCAAATAATAATGATAACGTTTTTGTCATAGACACATGTTTTACCAATTTTGAACACATTTTTCATTATGTTTCCAGTCTTTTCTACTGTGTTTTTTTTCATATGCAATAAGAACATGTCTCTTCAAAACTATATTCATAATTTAGTAATATAGATAACTTCATTCAACTTTTCTAGTTGTTTGCAGTAATCAAAATTTGATGTATAATCAAGCAATTGAAGTAGTTATTCAGCCAATAAAATTTTTTTTTCACTCAGCTTCTTTGAAACTTACCTTATTCTGCTTGCTGACATCACAAACTTTAGAATCTAACAGGACACTAACCACATCAAAATTTCCATGGGAAACAGCATAATGCATGGCTGTATTACCCTAGAAACCATATGATCAGGTAAAATAAATATTAAATCAAAATACATAGGTCATGAATAAACTACTGTAGTCTTTTCAAATGTTAGTCAACTATTAGCCTTGATACCTGCACATATCTTGTGTCACTATCAAAATATGACTTGAAATTTTTCTACAATAGCTACCAGATTTTTTTTTAAATGATAAATATACAAAAAACTTTTCTAATAGAAGTATTTGTAATGTTTTTTTCTACAAAACAAATTTTCTTTGCGAAATAACTGAAAGAAACAAACAAAAATGCATCAAATATACCTTACTTTTTTTTAGGAAAAAAAATTACGATGAATCTCAAGTGATGAATGAACAATGATTCTGATAAAAAAAAAAAGGAACATCTTTACAGCTTGATAATGCTAACATTTTCCTTAATTGAAAATGTATTTCTAATAGATACTCATCTCCATAAACAGAAAGCTACTTTCCTCTTGAAAATTGTGCTAATCCACCTGAGAGACTTGCCCGCCACCAGCCTTGTGAAAACTTCCACCTAAAACTCAGGTGAATCATGTGAAATTGTGCTACTGCATGATGACATATTATGTAGCAAAAATTTCCACCAATATGCAAATGCTCCTTCTGCATTCGTGTGTGAAATATGTCATTCTTTGATGAGGCCACAAATAAAGGTGCACCAGGAAAGTGGGGATGATGGGAATGTTAACTTCTGATACAATCACTCACCTCCGTACAAAGAAAGCTAGAATTCCACACTGGGATGGTAGAGGGACCGGTGTGAAATTTACCTAGATGAACTCCCTTCAGTAAGCTGCAGAAGGAAGCCTATGGGATGTGACACTATATTAAAGGGGCTCCACAGGGTCACCCCCAATGGGAGACTGCATCCAATCTCATCCAGGGTATATTATTCACCCCACGAGCAGGATCAGAAGGTGTGAAAGGCCTGCACAATGTCACAAGGACAGACTGAATGGGTACATTGGGTACATGATCATCTGAGTACTCACAAGATTTCGGACAGCCAATAACTGTTTTGAGGTTGGGGCTCATTCAGACTGTACCATGGGTGCACATCTCAGCCATCAGTCAGTCTCTATACGTCAAAACCAGCTATGGGAAAAGGTCACTTGTGATAAGTATCCATGCACAGCTCCTCTACCATCAGACACTACTAGCCCATTGTCAGTCAAGAGAGGAGAGCACAGTGTACACATACTGGTTTAGTGAACACAATTAGTATGTATACTTATGTAACCACAACTTGACCATCAGATACTATAGACCCCTCACTTGCTGTGAGAGAAAGATGTGTGGACAATACATGACAGTTGGACATGAAATAATATCATCTACTCTGCAATTAGATACTGAGAGTTTAGGCCATTGTGGAAGTAGGAAGTATGATAAAGATATACGAGCATGAGATAGTGATGTGTCCAAATTCCACTTGGAGGTTGTGATGTATCTATATGCAATGGGGTGATCTGTACTACACTTAAAAAACACCCCCTGCTCCACTTCTCACCATAGAGGGACCCATGTTCAAGCTCCTGGCATTTAGGCCCCAGTCAGTGAGAATTCTCTACGACACACTACTCCAACAGATGGGAGTTGGTAAGTGGCAATAGTCTTCCATGTTCCACTTGCAAGGGGGTGGGGGACTTTAATAATATGCCCTGATCCCCATTTGGGACCTGCTGGAAAGGTCATTTACTAAAGAAAATGCAATGGGTGACCGTGAAACCCAATTTTTAAAGTCAGCAAGCGAGACCCAGAGAAGTGACAGATGCTCAAATTTGGTTCTGGCTTTTTTCATGATAGTCCATGGAATGGGTACAGTTGGCATTACACTGGAAACGGTTATATGTAAGAACTATGACTGGAACTTCACTGGTCTTGCAAAACATCCCCATCTCACAGTGAGCACTGATTGGGTGAGAGTGGATAGTCTGAACAGAAAAGTTATATATAAATACCATGAGCAGAACTCCAGTGGTCTTGCAAAAACACCCCATCTCACATTGGGCACTGATTGGGCTAGGACATATGGTCTGAACTCTTTCCCTTATTCTGGCCCGATGCAGAATTTTGTGTAAGTATACCCTGTTAGGTAACACTAGCCACCTAGTGAGATCCAAAAGTAGAAGAATGATAGGGAAGGAATAAATAAATGAACACTCACATCTGTTACAGGTGCAGGGTTAACTGAAGAATGGCCATTGGTGGAAGGCTGTATGCTACAGGAGACAAGACAGTCAAATGTTGGAGACATTTGAATGTGAGACTAGTGAAAAGGGGGGAAAAGCTAAAGAGAGGAGACTCGAGAGAACATGCAAACATTCGCTCTCAGAGGAGCATATAAAAGATGGATGAGCTGGCAGATTCAATCCATAAAGAGGTAACAAGAGATGGCCCAGATGGAGGAGGTGTCCTAGATATGAAATGACAGTGAGAGGAACCAAAAGGAGGGAGGATGTGACAAAACACTGGATGGCCAGGACAGGACAAGATCATCTGTCTGGAACAGAAAGAACACTAAAAAGAAAAACTGAAAGAGGGGATGTGGGAGAAAAGGAGTGACCACATATCCATGCCATGGAATACAAGGAAAGAGCAGCCAGAACAAAGGAGAAGGGAAGGAATGAGAAAGCAGGAGGAAACCAAGGTGTAGAAAAGTGTACAAAGGTAAGTAGGAAGAGGATTTTTTCCAGGAAGAGCAAAAACATCTGCTAGAGGTTTGATGGGGACTCAGGTAAAAACACGCAGAACCACAATAATAATCCAATCAGGCAAGAAGTAGAAAGGGTGCAGTGGATAAGGAAGGAATAAAAATGGGCAGAGAGAGGCAGATAAGAAATAAACCTGTGACATCAGGAAAGGCAAAAGGTGGCTGAAATGCTGCCCGAGAACCTGTGATAGAAAATTTACAGATCACAGGAGAAAAATCCTGTGAAAGAGGAGGAGTATGTGACAATGTAATGTAGTCAAAGGGAAATGGGGACAAAGAGATCAAGGTGAAAAATACATCCCCTACAATGGCACATGAAGGTAGAGGGGTAACAGGAGTGGAACAAAGGGATAGCTGCCTGATCAGGGAGGTGTACTGGACAATATTACATGCAACAAGGAAAGGGTGCCATATCCCGAGGAAAGGGCAGTGTGTGATGGTGGATCAGAAGGGATGAAAGTTGGAAGGGGGAAGTTAGGCCTGAGACTCAAGCAGGTGGAGTAATAGAAACAAGGGGCCATTGAACAGACCCCATAAGGGGTGTCCTGAAAATGAGGAGGTGAAGAAGAGGACAAGCATAGTAAAAAGGTGGGAGAGGCTAGACTGAAGACATAGTCAGCCAGGGTTTAGAAATGAGGTGCATGAAACAGAATAGAGGAAGGTAGCAAAGAGGGGATTGGCAAGGCAACAAAGGAAGGAAGAACAATGAGAAAGTAGGATAATGGAAGATGAGTGGGTGAGGAATCAATTTGTGGGTAGGAAGAAGTCCTGTTGAGAAAAGAACCTGCCACAAAATGCAGTACCCCCACAACATGACAGGTTATGAATGCATTTGGCAGGCATAGGTTCAGAACCAAAACTGAACACTATCTTCTAAACATACAAGTAAAGAAATAAGGAAAGAAGATCAAACATTAACTGCTAAGAGTACATGTTACGGAGTAAGTAGCCCCATCTAAACATTGACTGTGGGTGACACTGTATGGAACAAAAGCTAATGAGTAAACCCCATCTGCTAATGATATGTGAATCCATAATGAACCAAATCTAATCTTTATAGGTAATAAGAATATGTAAAGGAGCAATGAATGAGGATGAAACATGATTCACCAGGTGTAAATATTAAGAAGTAATGAAATATAACAAAATAGTATAATCTATGTCTGACTTGTAAAGGAGAAATGGACAGAACTAAGTACTACCATCCATGGGAACAAACTATGCCATATAAAACTATGACAAAACATTAATCGTGAAGTAGAAATGTTAAGGAGTAATGTGTATACATCATCATCAAAGTGTTGCAAGTTAAGGAAGAATAAATGATATCAAAATATTAACTCTTATGTGGGCATGTTAAAAGGTATGAAAGAGAACCAAACATGAATGTCTACGTATGCACATTAAAGAGGAACTAGATTGAAGCATCATCCACCAGGTGTACAAATTACGGAATAATTAACTACAACTAAATAGTACCTATGAAGTGTACATGCTAAGGAGTAAAGAACAAGGCAGAAACGTTACCTTTTAAGTGACATAAGGAGTAAGGAACTGTAACTGAACAGTATATTTTTTTGTGTTATATGAAGAAGTAATGAACTAGAAATACAGAATAACATAAGTACACATGTTACGAATAAGCAACTATTTCTAAACATTAACTGCTATGTGTATAAGGAATGATCAACAGTTTGGTTTGTTTTGAATTTTGTGCACAGCTACACAAGAGCTATCTGCACTAGCCATCCCTAATTTAGAAGTGAAAGACTAGAGGGAAAACAGCTAAAAGACCAAGCATGTTTAGTGGGGTGGGGATTCGAACCCATGACTAGGATGAATAAACCATGATCAAACATGATATTCTAAGTAGGACATGGTAAGGAGCAATTAACTATGTCTGAACATTATTTCCTATAGGTACAAGTAAAGGAGTAATGAACTATGGCAAAACATTAACCCCAATGAATTATATGTTAAGGAGTAATGAATAATGTCAAAACAATATCTTCCATGTGTACATGTGAAGAAGTAAAGAACTAAACATTAACTTCTAGGTGTACGTGTTAAAGAATAAAGAACTATAATCAAACCTTCACAGTTGTGTGTAGAGCAAGGTATAATCAACTAAGCATTATCTTCCATGTGTACATGGGAAGAAGTAAAGAACTAAACATTAACTTCTAGGTGTACGTGTTAAAGAATAAAGAACTATAATCAAACCTTCACAGTTGTGTGTAGAGCAAGGTATAATCAACTAAGCATTATCTTCCATGTGTACATGGTAAGGAGTAATGAACTATATCAAAATAACATCTATTATCATCTTCTAAGTGTACATGGTAAAAAGTAGGAACTAGAAACAAAGATTAATTTGGATGTTTACACAGCAAGGAATAAGCAACCAAAACTAAGCATTATCTTCCATGTGTGCATGTGAGGACGTAAAGAACAGGAACTAAACATCATCATCTAGGTGGACATGTTAAAGAATAAAGAACTAGATTCAAACCTTAATATTTATAGATACGTGGCAAGAGTACATGTGAAGAAGTAATGAACGAGATGTAAATACCTACTATTTGGATATAAGGAGTTACAAACAAGAATGAAATATCAAAGATTATGTGTTAAAAGTACAAGAGCAACTAACTGTAACTAAACATCAACATCTATTTAAAGAATAAGTAAATATGACCAACAATTAACATGTATATATACATGTGAGAGAGAGACAAACTATGACTAAACATAATATCCAAACTGGGATAAATTAAGAAGTAACTAACTATGATTAAACATTATAGTCTAGGTATTACAAGTTATGGAACTAACTATGATTAAACATTATAGTCTAGGCATTACAAGTTATGGAACTAACTATGATTAAACATTATAGTCTGGGTATTACAAGTTATGGAACTAACTATGATTAAACATTATAGTCTGGGTAGTACAAGTTACAGAACTAACTATGATTAAACATTATAGTCTGGGTATTACAAGTTATGGAACTAACTATGATTAAACATTATAGTCTGGGTAGTACAAGTTATGAAACTAACTATGTTTAAAGATTATAGTCTGGACAGTACAAGTTACAGAAATAACTATGATTAAACATTATAGTCTGGGTATTACAAGCTACGGAACTAACTATGATTAAACATTATAGTCTGGGTAGTACAAGTTATGGAACTAACTATGATTAAACATTATAGTCTGGGTAGTACAAGTTATGGAACTAACTATGATTAAACATTATAGTCTGGGTAGTACAAGTTATGGAACTAACTATGATTAAACATTATAGTCTGGGTAGTACAAGTTAGGGAACTAACTATGATTAAAAATTTCAGTCTAGGTAGTACAAGTTACCGAACTAACTATGATTAAAAATTTCAGTCTAGGTAGTACAAGTTATGGAACTAACTATGATTAAAAATTTCAGTCTAGGTAGTACAAGTTACCGAACTAACTATAATTAAAAATTTCAGTCTAGGTAGTACAAGTTGCAGAGTAATGAACTAGTTCAATGGTAACTCTAAACAATAAATCATATCCATATACCAGTGAAAGAGTAATAAATGATATCTGAACATTAAATCCTATAATTTATGTGTTAATGAAGAGTAAACTATATCTAAACAATAACATTTACATGTTACCTGGTAAAGCATGAAGGATGAGGCATAATACGCAGTGGGAGTGAACTGAACCCCAAAGTAAATGCTGAGTGTGCCATTAACTGGGGAAAAGAAAGGAAACAATGGGTAGAAGGCTTACATAGGGTGGGAAACTTCAGATATGCAGTAAGTAGAGAAGTATTTGGTGGAAAGTTGCTCCATTTTGTCCTCCTCAACTTCAGCTTCAAAATCTGTGAAGGGAAATGTGTGGCAGGGATAGAAGAAAGTCCAAGTGGCAATATGGACCCCACCAAATAATGGTCAGTTGGTGTTACTCTTCTTTTTACTGTATTTTCAAGCTAAACAATACCTTTTGCAATACACTATGGCTGTCACAATCTCAACAGGCAAGAAGTTCCTAAACATTGGTAACACTGAGTGAGATTTGTACTCACATCAGCAGAGAAAAATGTTCACATTAATCTGTGAACTCTTATAGTGATGAAGTTGGTACTTCATCGAGTCTCAGCAAAAATAGACACATCTAAACCCAACCGGGCTGAGAAAAAGAATGACATATTTGTGCACAAATGTAGAGGAAGCATTTGCGCAAGGACAAGCATCTCACACGTATTAGTAGAGGGTTTTGTTGCATGATACATTATCATGCAGTAACACAATTTCACATGATTCACATGAATTTGTGGTATGGGTTTTCACAAGGCTGGTGGCATACAAGTCTTTCAGGCAGAATGTAGAGGTGTGTGGTATTATCAGTACTATTTTGGTAGATCGGTAAAACAAACTGACATTTTTTCAATATTTTTGTTAAAATGATGTTACGCGGGGAGTTTATTTTCACATAATTGTTATGCAAAATGTAATTCACCATAAAGGCTTGTTGCATTGCTAAGCAACAAATTATGTTAGTCCTCACACACAAGTTTTTCAGAGAATTCTCTGCACATAGTAACAAGGAAGAACAGAAATTAGCTAAATTTATTGCCATAATATATTGTGATCCACCACTCTGTATTGCAATACATGGCAATATAGAAATTTTGGCAATACCAAGGTCTATTCTTTAATTATCTCCATGGGCCTTTGAAAGAATTGGTGTGTTGATAATAACAAGAAAAACAACTACATTACTTCATAAAGTCATGTAGACTCTAAAGATTTAGAATTAAGGTTAACATGTACTGGCATATGACTTTAATTCTTTTTGTTCACAATGAACAACTGGAGGAGGATATTTTGCTTTAAGATTTACAATTACTTTGCAGTTATCTAATGTTGATCCTTTGTTTTTCAGCTGTTTATCAAACACATAATGACAAACATATTATACATATTTAGGTATAACAATGTTTTATACTAAAATATACTAAAAATTGAAGGTTCTAATCATCTGACCTTGGCCAAACATACAATCTAACATTGTTTGAATAAACATGCACAAACATCCAAAACACTTGTTATAAAATATTATTTTGAAAAAGATATGAAAGCTCAAAGCTTAAAACCAAATCAATTCTGACTATCTCTAGGAACCAGCTTTTATGTATGAGGTATGTAAACCAAAACAACAAACATTTCAGCACAGATCTTTGCAAATCTGTAACTCTTAAGTATTTGTTATTTTAAATCTGAGTATTCTGTAAATAAACCTTCTACTTTGTTGATATCTTATATATTGAAAATAATCATTGATGAAGAAGTCCAAGTTAATGTTACAATGGTGATAATAATCTGATGTAATGAACAAATTTTGTTAAGTTTCATTTAAAAAGTCAAAATGCCAAAGATGTATTTTTAACTTCTGTTTTGCTATCTGCAATTGTTTAGTTTCTATACTATTTCCAAAATTTAAGTATAAAACTTAGCAGTTAATTTTCAGTTGCAACATATAAATTTTACAATGGAACAAAACTGTTACTTACATTATGATCAGTTAAGTTGACCACGCGACTCAAAAGAAGGTTAGAGAAGCTTTCAAAAGTATCAAGGTAGTCTTCTACAACATGAGGGTTAGCATTTTTTTGACTGGACACTTTGAACCATTCTTGTTGTATGAGCACAAGACTGGATTTCTGTAACAGAAAACAGAGAACTTCATGAACAATGTTACAATATCTAATAATAAATATTATATTCTTTAAAAGGAATCTTTTCACAATAAGTGTAATTTTTTCCTTCAAAATGTAGAGTAATAGCATCATTAGACCATTTTTTTTACCTATACATATACCTTTAGCTTATTAATTATTTGTACACCACAAAAAAAAGAATTAGTATTTAGATAAAACAGTAAAACAAAATGTATATATAATCATACAAGTATCTTTTTTTAAATTTACAAACCAAATTTATCAATTAAGTTTAAACCATTAGTATGTGTTGAGCAAAACCACTAATATACATTGTTTTATTTACAATCTTAACATTTATAAGAAAAATAAATTTTAAATAGGATTTCTATCTTTATATATATATATATATAAAGAGCTACTTTCAGCTGGCTACCTCAACTTTCCTCCCATCACCTCCTAGATATAATCTTTTGTTGTCATTTATCAAACCTTTGTTTACCAAATTTGCAAGAGACCATCCTTAGTCAACCCTTATTTTACACACTGTTCAGAATATCTACCTCATTAAAAATTCAGCTATCATAATATCTACATAATTGAAACTGTGCAGTGTTTTTGTTTGCTCTTATTAAATACAATGGTACTATGAACATGCTTTCTTTGTGTAGCAATTTTGACTTCCGAGTTTTAACTACATTCTTTAACAGTTTGGAATTTTATCTTCAATTCTTTAAAATTTTCATTGTTACTTAAGGTTAATTTAACAACACTGCTGAAGTTTTCTACCATTTTTGTTAATTTAAATATTTATATTTCTATTAAACAATACTTTTTTCACTCCTGTATTAATTAGTCTCTTGTTCTTTGCTGGATTTTATTCTCATGTTTTACTTTCTTTTGGTTTTGGTATAAGGTATCTTCAATACAAAATATATGCAATAAATTGTAAATTACATCTCATCTAGTGATCTTCTTTAAGAAGGATGATCTTACAACCACAAAAGAGTAAGTACAAATGCTTCTTGGAAAGATACACACAGACCAAAGTTGGGAATTTAAGTGTTATCAAATTTGATATGAGATTAAGCCTTTACATCAATAGAGAGAAAAGTGCTTTAAAAAAAATCTTGTGTAGCCTGCTATGTGGACAATGTCTGATACCATCATTTATTTTACTTGAATTATGTTACTATGTTGTCTAGGTTGTGAATGCCTCCTATATTGGTTGGTTTACAAACATCCTGAAGACTTTTTGATTTATTTTCTTAACATCATGTTCAAGATATTTTCTAATGAGGTAATGGGGAATTTCACTTATATCCAGCAATTTACGGTGTGTTGAGCCTTATAGAAGAATTAAAAGTGCCTTTGTCGTGTTAATTCTATTTTTCCCCGTTCCTTATCTTATCTGCCACCAAGTTGTGAGATAGCTGTAACAGCTCACCAAGTCCTTAAGCCATGAAATTCAAGAACCAAAGAATCCTTCTTTGCCAAGTTTCACAAGCCAATTCAGGTCTCTATGAAACTTGCTCTATGAGATTTGTACTAAGCACAGGCACTTGTAAGTTACTATATTTGAATTTTATGTCTTCTTAAAATCCAATAAAAATTGGTTGTTTACCTTTTAACATGTATATCCACCCTTTCTTTTCACATCTAAGTTCTGGTATCAAATGGAATGAAGTCTTGAATGTTGGGATAAGCTATTGGCTTATGTAGTACTCTTGTATGAGGTATTAATTTCATAAATGAACTAGTATGATGAATGATGTCATATAATAAAGTTCAGGATATGAAAGCTAAAGACCAATTTAATGAAATATACTACAGGGAATAAGTCGATGTAATTGAATGAATAACTCCATATAATTAATCATTTATAAAAAATTCATGAAATTTAGGTCTGTAAAAAGCAGAATGAGTTAAACATATACACATGAAAAGCAAATAAACCTGACAGCCTGTAAAGCTTCATTTATAAAGTTTATTCAAAGAATACTTGTAATATATCCATATCATTCATTTAAGGAAGTTACATTAAACAAACAAGCCATACTGAAGTCAATTGTAAAGTTTAGGAATACTTATTATTGAAATAGTCATCATATTCCCTTTAATTTCCCTTTAAATATCCATTTTAAATATAATAAATATTCATTTTCAAAGAAAATTCCTGGATTTAACTGAAGTGAGTTTATAGCTATAATTCAAACACTAAAATAGATCACTTACTCAAAATGGAAACTTTGTAATCATACTATCTCAGTTTCAATCAAATAAAATGTGTTTACAACAGTACATGTTTTACCATGAACAAAGGTGTTCTCACAAGTTTAAAATGAATCATTATTTTTAAGATTTTTGAAATGTTTAAAAACTGGTTTCCAATAACTCACCACCTTCTTCTCATTCTTTTTTTCTGGTCTTCCCAAGTAATCATTCAGTACTTTACAAGCAGCCATCATTTCTTTAGTTGGTTCACTCCTGGAAAGAACAAAAACTTCTTTGGAATATATCCTATCTGTGTTTCTAAGCATTAATATGTAAATATATTAATTCAATTTTGTTCAATCTATAACTACAAAAGTCTTCTTGTACACTTGCCCAAGACTTCATTAAGTTGCAGATCTAAGATCCCCCCCCCCCCCCGACACACATACTAATCACACACAGATAAATAAAATTTTGAGTTTCATAAATTTTTTAATCTTCATTGTTGCTCACTCTGATTTTAACAATTTTTTTAGGGGTTGGTTCACCCAAAAACTGAAATTACTAAATTTATCAGGGAAATACAGCTGTGCAATGGAAATTAAGCATTTTCTCCTTCAACAAGATATAAGCTTAATATTATCAGGTTGTTATACAACATTTGAAATTATTGTGAAAACAGACTAAAGAGGACCTTGAATGTGATGAAGCTTGGGTTGCACATAACATAAAACTTATGATGAGATGACTAATAAAAAAAAACAACTCAAAATATAAAATAAAAACTCCACTGACTATTTTGTCATGTACATCCTCAGATAAACAAAAACTGCAGAATGATAATACAAAATGAGTTTTAAGCTGATATGAATAATCAGAGATTAAGATTACAGTTCAAAATCTGAATTTTTAAGAAGATTTTAAGCAGCTCAGTTTAAACTATAAAGATGGCATTTAAACTTGTCACTGAGATGTGGCATGAGCCAAAAGCAAAATGATATTCATTTAAACTTAAATCTTACTTTTCAGTGTAAAGGATAATCAAAGCAGAAGTAAATAGTAAGAAAATTTATCCTGACTATTTATGCAAGAACACATCTAGCTTTTTAAATGGAGGGTACATTTCCTTCAATGGCCGAGTTCCAAAACTGACAATATTTATTACAACCTGAGTCCTAAGTTTCTTAAATCTAACTATACAATGAACATTTTAGTATCAAGCCCTCAGAAAATCTACTGTTCTTGAAATTCTTATTTTACAAAAATCTCAGTAAATGAATAAGAAATCTTACTTTTCATGACGATTAGGGTTTATTGGCTCAAAGATCATTGTTCTAGGTTTGTTCACATTGCTAGGAGATGAGCTTCTTATGTTTCCTGCAACAGCTTCATAAGAACTGTCTTCTACATTGCTACTACTTTCAGAATCAGAACTTTCTGTTGTGTCAGATTCACTCTCACCTGATGGTTTTCCAACCTTCATTTTATCTCTATATAAAAAATGTTAAAAATCATAAGAACTTTTAACTTGGTATTTTTAAATTGTTCTATTATGCATTTTCAACAACATTTGCTAAAACAACAAACCAGTAATAGCTTTTTAACTCAAGTAGAAACCCATATCAAAACACAGGCAAGAAAACCAAAGTTTGAGATTTAGGGAAGTATATGTAATTTCAGCTTAAACCTAATCTACTGAATGTTAATACACTCCTCCAACATAAAGCTCTAGAGTCAGCATAATGTATAAAAAGATTTGTATTACTTTTATTATTTCAGTCTAAAGTTTAGAATGAATTCATTAAAAGTGAAAGAACTGAATAGATAAAATTTATATTTTTAAGAATTTACATTATTCCTTTGTTTTTTTCCTGAGATAACATATGATTTAACTCTAAAAATATTTCCAAGACAGCTAAAGTGGAAAATTTTATAGTTTGTTATCTGAAAAGGTTTTTCTCATTATTTTTAAGAGCAGGTTGTTGGAATTACCAAGCAGGCAGATAACTCTGTTACTGTGAGAGCCCCACATTGTGCCTTTGGCATAGTCTACAGAAAATTTTGGAAATCAAGACTATCAGAAACACCATTTCCTACATTTTCTGACCACTTTTTTAAACAATAATATAAACAGAAATGTATGAAGGTACATTATATATTCACCACTCTTAGCTTTATCAAAACTAGAAGTGTTTTTAATAAGTAGGTGATACTAGTTAGTAAATTTGAAAACTATTTTTTGTAGCATGTGTTGGAATTTATTGCCATAATTAGTAACATTACAATCATATTTTGTTACACGTTGATAGGCAAAAAATCGAAACTAAGAGCATTCTGTTGACCACTAGAAGAGAATATATGGTCATACAAAAGTACACATACTTTCCTCACTTTGTTTTTACAGTTAATTGTTGCATGTGACATTGTTTCAGTAAACCTAATTTTAGTACTTTAAATCTTGTGTTTAATAAACACTTTGTTGAGTTAGAAAAAAAGTCAATTTTTGTGGCATTCTTTTCTGTGTTTACAAAGAAGAATGACCACATTCAATGTAACCATTTTATAGTCTTATCTAATATTATATTCTTTTCAAATTTAGAAGAGATGTTTTCACAATACATGTTTCATCAAAAAGATACTAACGCTTTCATTCTGATGTTTAAACAACAAAAGCAATGAACATTGATCAATATAAGATGCTGAAACAGAGTAAGTTTAAACACTGTATTTATCATAATTAGTTGCTTTTAAGCCACTTGTGTTGTTAAAAATACATTATCAAACTCCATACAACTTAAAAAGATTAGGATTAACTGAAAAAGAAAATTTACATAAATTAATAGTACTATGAAACTCAGACAACAGTCCCATTTAATACACATTATACATTTAGTACGTTTACTAAAAACGATTTAACTAGCAATTTAAATATAGTATGTCCTACCTTAAGATTTTGGTTTTCATTTCTTTTTCTGAACTCTGCTTTATTGGACTCTTTCTGCCACCACTCAGTCGAGCATAAGGGTTTTGAAAACTGGAATCATGGGAAGATGATTCTTTATGTACCTTAATTACTGAATTTCCCTGTTCAGTATAGGTTTTGCTTTTTAACTGAGGAGATAGCTTCAGAGTAACTAATTGGCTATCAGCAGCAGTGGACACTGTAGGTCTAGGGATTCGTGAAGAATGAACTGGAGGCTGGGAACCAGTGGTGGGTGAAATATTCTTTTCCACCACATCTTGTGCAACAGACTGAATAGTAGCATTACATTTATCACACAGACGAACACTATTTAAGCTGGTTGCCCTTGAAAGACGAAGAAGGTCAGAGTCAGTGCTTGTGTTAACTCCTACACTATGTTTCTGAATAATGTCATTGTTTCCTACAGAAGCATCCTTGACTTTTAAATTAGCACAGTGGTCACATAACACACAATTAACATCACTGTCTCCAATACCTACAGTTTCTGTCTGACGAAGTTGGCAATAATCACAGAAAGATTCAAATACTGAAAAACTACCACAACCAACTGTTCTGGTGTCAGTGTTTCTACATCTTTCACACCATGTTTCAAGTATTGAGTTACTCCCAACACCTGTGCTCTGTACTTGCAAATTAGAACATCGAAGGCAAGCTGCATCAAGTATGTTATATGATCCAACTCCAATACTCTGTGTTTCAATGTTACAACACTTATCACATACTATGTTGTTCACTCTCCCTGTCCCTACGCCTCTATCTTTTTTGAGGGTTGTGTCTACCTGAATGCATACATGTCGAATATCAATAAAGACAGCTTGCATACAAACATCCCTAGTTTTGACAGTTGGTGGGGAAACCTGGATTCCTTCTGATGTAGTTACTGCAGGAACACAGTTTGTAGCTTGATGCTTCATGAATAGTTTTTTAGGCCCAAGCTCTTGCTGGGTTAGTATATCAGCCATTTTTAATTCAGTGCATGTTCCAATGTTTTGCTGTGCAGCTGTTTCTGTATTAACACCATGACTGATAATCAACATAGAAGAACAAGAATTTTCTGATGTTGTGTGATATGGTACAGAATCTCCAACTGCCACACTTTGAAACTTTTGAATACGTTTTTCCTCACATTTTAGACAGGGCTGAATCTGTGGTGCCACAGAAACTTGTTCTTGAACATCACATGTCAGTTTTTCCAACTTGAATTGATGGAGTTTGTTGTACAAGTCTGTATTGGTACCTCGAGTTTGGAAGATTTTATTAAATCGCTCTCGACACCTAATACAACTAAGTGTTCGAGGTCTAGATGAGTACTTCTTATCTTTCTTAATCTCTAACTCATTCTCTGAAACTTCGGAAGAGGATGATGAGCCCGATGAGGATCGTTTCTCTTCTCGTCGATTACATTTAATGCAAACTTGTTGCAGTGATACACATATGTTCTCATCACCTATACCAACAGAACGAACCTTCTCTGGAACATGCCCAACACCAACATCTCTGGTAAGTACCAGGCAGTTAGTTCCTGCATTTTTCATGTTCCTTATATTGCTATAGATCAAGCTTCGGTTACAGATTCCTTCTTGATCACTGAAGGATTTCTGCTGTACATCATTAATTACCAGATGTTTCCTTCTGGGGATACTGGCATTCAGCAGTGCTGTCATACTTGAAGAAGAAAGATCATCACTACCAGACTCCAGTCCACTACTTTGTAAAGTTAAAGAACCATATGTTTTATGTTTCATATGAGGAGATTTATCAGTTTGGTCTTGATGTCTTGAAAAGGTAATTTTACCTCCTTGTTCTTCTTCTTCACCATCACTCTTGGATCTCTCCACAGTATATCTGTTCTCATCTCCAATGCTTCCACAGTCTAATTTCTTACTTTTGGCTTTCAACTGAAGCATTAGTAACCTCTTCTCTTCTTTCAATACCGATAATTTCACCTAAAAAAATAACTGTCCTAGATTACTTTATGAACGAAAAATTCTACAAATATTTTTATTTACAAATAAATAAATAAATATGTTTGAAAACACATTTCTTAATCTTTGCACTTTAGATTTGTACATAAATACTGTACTTGGAACAAAACCAGAAAGTCCATTGTAAAACAGGAATGTAAAGAATTTTACCTGAAGTATAGGCAAAGCTTTCACTTGTTCTTCTAATTCTCTCATTCTCTGGAGACTTGTGGCCATTTGGTGACGAATATTTGTTAAAACAGGCTTAGGTATTGTTGCTCCTCCAGGTGATGTGATTGGAGACTGGGTTGTGGCAGTGTTTAGTGATGCCATTGTATCAGCCATCTGTTGAGAGGCAGTAGAGACTGGGGATAGCTGTAGTTAGATTTAGAAAATAAAAGAATATTAGGTACAAATCATACAATGTACACAAGCTTGAGGGTTTCTTTATAACTTTACTATTTGTTTAAACACATAATTCTGAGCTCAAAAAGAAAGCTGCATGTCATACAGTTGAATTTCACAGTCTTAATTACACAGTCACTTATTACCTGGTTCAAATGTTCCTTCCATACTATTCAGTGCTGATTTTTTTTACTAAATTCCTACAAGGATTAGGAAGCTGAAATTAGTTATGTGAACTTATTCTTTTTTTGTTCAATTTCAGCTGAATTAATTCTCAACAGCCAATGATGCAATGAAGCAGACCATAATTGCTCATGGAGATATTAACCCATAGGTAGGTGACAATACCTAACAACCTTTACAGCTTATCATTATAAATATTAATCAATATACTGAAAATCAAAAATCATTAAATACCTCTGGTATATGTATCCCAAAGCTGGAAATAGTTGATTGTGAGGATACAGAGCTCACCGAGTCACTTCGAGTTCTGAATTCTCCTAGTGGTAATGGTAGAGTTGAATCTTCAACATTTGGTTTAAGTATATTCTCAGTAGTATTTTTTGAAAACTTAGGTGAAGGATGAGTTGGAGTGACAGGAGATAGGTCTGTTGTGCTGCTGCTGTCACTCAACACTAATGCAGCAGGAGCATTAACAAGCAAGTCTACAGGGAGGGTTGCTTTCCGTGAAGGTTTCAAGCTAGTGTTCTCAGTTGATGAGTTTGGAGACTGGGTATTTAGTAGAGTTTCCTCAAAATCCAAAACAGCATCTCGCAGTGCATCATTGGTTGCTAACAAATCTGGGGGTGGTGCTTGCTGTGGAGTTGAATCCTGAAGTAAAAATTTAGTTCATTTTCGATAGTCACTTTTTTAATGTGTAACAAACCATTCTTTTTTTTTATGTAATGAAGTCTGCTTGAAAACACTGTGATGTGCATAATAATTATTACACATATAGAGGAACTGGTATTTAAATAAATCAAAGATATCAAAATAATATCAAACCATACTTTATTCATTACAAAGCCATTCTGAATCTCAAAGTAAATCTTAACCATCTTTACAATGCTTTTAAAAACATTTTCATGTGACTAAACAACTAGGGGGTTTGCTCCAATACAGCTGTCTTCATGCATTATAGCAGTAACAAAAAGTGTAGCCACTAAGTACTGCTTTATATCACTTGCATGTCTTCCTATAACTAACGACTTTGGGAACACTAACAATTCTGAGTCTTCATGTACCAAAGATTTGTTCCCCATTTCACAGGATAAAAATACCCTAGAAAAAAAAATCTACATAACTACTTTATGGTGTTATCTGTGGAAAGGTCATTTCATTTCAACACTTACATGGATCTAATACATATCTCCAAAGAAAATTCTAGAGTCAAAATCCAAAGAGTTAAAAAAAAAGAAAAAAGAGGTCATTGTACAAAAACAGTAAAAAATGTGTTTTCAGGTGCATTGAACCTTTAGTTACTTACTTGTTATTTCACAATCTTTTACATATTTCCTACATGAACTTAAAAAATCTGAAGTCCAACATCTCAATCAGTGAGAAAGTTCCCTAAATTGTACCTTTCAAACATATTACAAGTTTCAACAGCAAAAAGATGATAAAATATGATTATGAATTATTAATCACATATTTATAAGCTTACAATTTATTTTATGATAATTACATTAAGTCTTATTCAGCAATTTTAACTTTTAGTTTTCTGTTATATGTCTAAGCTTGGTGTCATGCAACTAGTCCGAGCACTAATGGATTGTGTTAACTGGTAAGTAAATGATGTTACTTTTAGAATAATTTTACCCAGGTTTTAAAGCACTAGCTACAAACATTTTATGACTTACTTTTGATCACAGACTACTTCCAACCACATTAAAAAGCAACAACAAAATAATCTTTATGCCACTCTTTAGCATTCACTTTTCAAAGTAAGCCCAACAAGTTATTTTTGAAAATTTAAATACACTTTTTTCTGTTTTTAGTTACTCAAAAAGCTACACACAAAGGGTTATCTGTGCTGTGCCCCCCACCACAGGTATCAAAACCTGGTTTTTAGAGTACAAGTCTACAGACTTACCACTGTGCTATTGAGGGCAGAAACTTAAGTATATATTTTTTTCTGTAACTGGAGGAGACTGCACTACCGCTCCAACATTTTTCTTCAATTTCCTTTTAAGTTAATTTTCCAATAGTAAAAGTTATTTCAACAGTATGTGAACCATTTTCTTAATCTAGTGTTACATTTACATCAAAAAGTCTCTTAATAATGTACGTCAAGTTGAAGTTTACTAATAAATAAAACTATTGATCTGAATTTACAGCTCAGACAAGTTTTATTTTCTAATTCACAATGTATTGATTCATAAAAATGCAACTGGTAAAGGAATAATCATTCACTGAAAAATTATGCAATAGTAGTAAGAATGATTTCACTTAAAACAACAGGAAGAAAATACTTATTACATCTCAAATCTATAATTCTTATTATCAAAGTGATTTTTAAGAAACTAAAATTAAATGGATGAAAATCGATAATGTGAAACATACACTATTATCAGTTTAGATAAAAAACATTATTTTGAACTTAGTGACTTGCAGGATTTTGTAAAGAAGTTAAAAGCAAAAACAATACAAACACTATATTTTGCAGATTAAGGAAAATATTAATGGGGACATTATGACACCATTTTAGTGTATATAACGAATTCAGAACGTCACATAATAACGAATTTATAAATTATGATTTACAATTTTTTGTGACTTGCTACTGTGTTTCTTCCCTGTTATCCTGGTAGCAGCTTCCAGTCGATTCAAGTACGCTTCCATGGACTTCCTCTCTTTTCTTTTATCTTTCTTCAGCTGTTTTAATTGATCTAGATAGGAGCTGTTGTAGAGTGCTTCACAATAACGTACAAAGTCTACATCAATATGATAACCATAAGGACAACATTGACAGCTGCTTCCCCCTTTCAATTTTGCTTCAATATTACTGCGTGGAGCTGGCAAGGTGGCAGATCTCCTTATACCCCCTATAAGAGATTTAATAATATTGTTTACCTGGCTAAATCTATGTCTTAAGTACATTGTAACCTTTGTTTTGCATAGTTTCAGGTGAAAAAATAGTTACTCAAAAGATAAATTTTAGAAATCATTGTAATAATATTAAATGAATGTGCATGGCACTGATCCATCGGACCGACCCTATGTTAGAGAAGAAATGTCGACTATAATTCCAAATTTACTATATGTACCTATATGAAATGTATCATGATCTTAGTAAGATGTATATGTCTGTTGTACACAAAAATTCAGATTCGTTACAAAGGTATTTGTTCTCAAGATATGTCTGGAATAAACAACAAGTCAGAGTGCAAGGCAACATTCATGTGAATGATAAAAATACTTTTGCCCATTGTACAATTTGCACATTGCATTTGTACAACCTCCAAAATCTATAATTTTACTCTTCTCTACCATGAACTGTCAATAAATAATTGATAACTCTGATATCAAATACATAATACCATGTTGAATAGTACTCTGTAAAAGTCATAGCATGCACACTTTGACCACACTTGCACACACACACGCAGAGTTAATGCTACAATAAAAACAACAATCAAAGAATAATTTTAGACTGTACAGTATGAAAGAAAAAATATTTGCAAACTCTACAATTACATTGTTAAAGTGAACAATTTTGGGCTTCTATCCAGCTTATCATATCAATGGAAACTTGAAAACTGCATTTTGTGAAAAAATATTGATAAAATATTTCATGTTACAACTTCTGAAAAAAATGTAAAACTATGGTATTTTCATTAGAAATTCCCTACAATCTATTTTATTTTTTATAGAACTATTACACTCTAATGCTACAAGAATGTTGTAGATGAGCAATTCCTATAAAAAGAAACCACACAATAACTCTGTGAAATATTGAGTTTGTAATCTGTAAATACTTGTAACCTTTCAAACAACTTTCAGCTATTCCTCTGTTGGTAGCTTGAATACAAAACAAATGTTGACAACTGTGAGCTGGGTTTAACTCACACATAATTGATAGTTACCTGAAAGAAGCTTCAGAGGATAAAAAAATAATTTGAGAGTAATTTGAATGAAAGCATGGAGATGTGAAGGGGAAAGGGGAAAAATTAAAGAATCTATGGAAATGCATAATAAAGTAAACATAAAAAAAGTTAGCAGAAATAATGCTAAAAGAAACATAATTGGGGCACAACAAAATAGTTGAAAAGTGCAAATCAAAATTTAAGAAAGAGAAACTATAGTGTGACAAGCAGCATAGAAAAATTCCAAAATTAACAAAATTACACAACACTGTAAAAGATAACCTATATGCTAAGATCACCATTATACATACAAATTTATAGAATGCTTATGAATTATTTAATAACTTGTAAAATTGGCAAAAAGAAAAGTAAAACAACATTCAATGAACTGAGAATAAACAGTTGAACTCTATAATGATATTTACCTAATGCAAGCTTTCAGATACTTTAATGCAACTAAAAGTTTATGTTAAATGTCAACAGAGTAAAATCAATTTTTTCTGTTAATTGAATGAACTAAATACAGAAGGGTAACTACATTTTATAAGAATGACCTGCAGATGTTAATACAGTGAAGACTCAACAATTCATAAGCTTCAAGCCACACCTAGAAATCAAGAGAAAGATGGCTCAAAAATTGGAACCAAAGAAATCCTATTTGACCACATACTTATCAAATCCCCTGGGGTATGTGTGTGTGTGTTTTATAACAAAACCACATCAAGCTATCTGCTGTGTCCACTGAGGGGAATTGAACTCCTGATTTTAGCATTGTAAATCTGTATACTTACTGGGGGGGACTCACCTGGGACAGCTACAATCTTTTGTGCCTTTGGTCTGTTTGAATATGGTCTTGGAATTGACATACAAGCACAATAAAGGGTCTGAGAAATTTATTAAGATACATGGTCTTTTGTAGAAACTTGTCAGAGTGTAAATTGTAGTCAATAGCCATGTTTGGTGAAATCATGGCTCCACGTAGTAGATTAATGACATACAGAAACAAGGCTAGCCTAAGCAAGACAATTTGCAAATCTTCTAGAAGGTGTGAGTATCAAGTAATATCTTTGTGAGTCAGTGTTAGCCTTTAAAATTAAAACTCAAAGTAACAATAAAAGTGTCTAAATTAATGGTTTAATACACACAGTTCAGAAAACATCATAAAACTTTTTATTTTGTACCTTCAAAAGCTAAAAGTGTAAGTAAAATGCCATCTGTTTAGAAATTGGATCATATCTAATTTATGGTCATGGTAGACAATTTTATCTGTTTTAAGTATCAGAACAATCTTTATATTTAATAAGGTATTTTGTCCGATATATATTTTTTCATAGAAGTAATTTGTTGCAAGTTAATTATTAATATTTATATACAAGTCATAAAGCTTTGTTTCTCCCAAAACCTTCGAGCCTGCAGAAGGAATCTAACTGAACGAAGAAAGCGTATATGTAACAATAAGAAACTGAAATACTCTACATAATTCAAAGAATACTTGATTTCCTTGTACTCCAAGTTACTTTGTTTTTAAATCCAGTATATTTTGTAGTTATAAACCTTCCAAAGAAATAACAAGCATTTTATGAAGTTGTCCAGTAATAATATCAACAGCAGCTGATGGAATAAAATTCTACTTATCGAAATAATGAAATACTTACAGAATGTTAGTATGTAAACATGATATTAGCAATTCTATTTTCTCAATTTACTGTTTATTCCCCTAAATAACATTAACAACAGAATCCAGAGCAAATATACTGAAATGGTTGAGTAACTTGTTTATAACAGCATTGACCCCATCATCCAAAAGTCTTAGGATTGAGATGTTATCTATTGCAAAATTGTCTGATTAGTTATAATAAATAAAATTCAAATATAAAACTAAACAGAAATCTCGAGTGACAAATGTAATTTAATGTAAATAACTTTTTTTATACATTCAAAGTGAATCTTTAATAACCTGCCCTCATTACCAACATAATCAGCCACCTAACTCCAAGGAATACTGATCCAAGTGCTGTTTTGAATGCTTATCAGTGCACACACAAAAATTAAGATTTCATACTTGTATATACTAAAAATGCATGTGTTGCAAATTTTATTAATAAATATGTACAATTTAATTATTTTAATGAAATTAAAACTTTCTTATTAGGCAATAATGTGTTCTTTATATAAATCAGTCCCCAGTCCTACGATCCTGGTGATCAGTGATATGAAATAGTTTTCTGTTTGCAAGACAAGTCACATGGATATACACATACACTGTAGGCCTACACAGTGTATATAGGTTTGTTTTTTTTCAGCTTTTCAGACTATCATTTTTCTGCATAATCAAAAAGAACACATTTATAAACTTGCTAATTAATTTTACTCAACTTAAGTTCTAATTTGTATATACTTATTACTATGACCCAGATAAATACAAATGAAAATCATAAATACAATAATTATGACAAAAATAAAGAATTTTACAATACCATAATTTTTGGTGTTTTCCATTTCCTTTTTCTTACTTGAGACTGTTTTACTTTCTGGTTGTTGTTCCATTTTCTTAGTGGCCTCTCACCTAGTTAGTTTTCAAATGTTTTTCTTTATATTCATTGCAGAACTATTTCTTAATAAAAATAACTTAGAAAAATCTCACAATTTGTTGAAATCTTGAAATTAAACATTGAAACTTAAAAATTAATGAAAGGCAAACAAATATAAGATAACACTAAATATTTTTTTTTCAGTTACTGGATGTTAGAGAAAAAAGGAGGGATTTTATTGCCAAATTATTGTTTTATGAGTAAAGTTATACATGTCATAAAAGAAAATGAAATAGCATTGGATGCATATTCATTCAAGTAAATAATATCAACATAATACATATCTCATACATTAAATGTATAGGGAAAACACAGAACATTAAAAATAAAATAATAATTACATTCCAGATAATCAAACATCTGACTAGAGTTATTGTAGTACAAGCTTATAACATGGTTCTAATAAAAACACTCAAGCATAAACTGAACCAATTATATAAAAGATATCTGGGACTGACTCTAGGTTTAAAGTGACTAATAATAATGGGCAAGGATAAACTTAACACTTTTGCAGTATCAAAGATAACATCTTACATGTTTGATTATTGTATAATGGCTGTGTGAAGAGTGAAACACACAAAGGACCGACTGGAATTATTTTTAAAAGGGAAAATAAATCAATAATGGATAAAAATAAAGAATATCATAGTGAGATAACTTAACGGCTTTAGCAAATAATGTGTCTTAAAAAGCCAATGATGGATATAAATCCTATCAGAAATTCTAAGGTTAGGTGGTATGAGAGAGAGAATTTAAAACAAAAACCAGATGTAGCTTCACCAGCAAGACAAGAAAAAAGTGCTTGCAGGTTAAAGAAGTGATACAGGATTGTTTCTTAGTTTGATCTTTACATTTTACATGCCAACATCTGTATCTTTGATCCAGAAAGTCATGCAAAACATACCTATTCTTTAAATATATAAATTAAATTAATCAAACACGGAAATCATGGATATTAGGTATTCAATTTAGAAAAACATCATCAGAAGTTTGAATTATTTTAACCGAATAACACCTGTTAAGGATTTGACAAGTTTCAAAGTAAATTAACAAGTAATTTTTAAAAGTATGATACATAAAATGTGTTTGCATCATGCAGAAAGTACTTTAATGACAGCATGCGACATATAAAGTTCTTGCTTGCAATTTACGTAAACAACGTAAACCTTTTACGTATATTTATAACCAAACTCCATACCACATATTAAAATGCACTGAAAAAAGGGGGAAACAAGCAGTTCTTTGACTTAAACAAGATAAAAGCCATGTGCTTGGCTATTTTTGCTAGCCGATGTAATATCTCTAATGAGGATGTCCAGCCTTCCAGAATGACAACCAATAAAGGCTTCTTTCACTAGCAAGTCTTGACTCTTGGCACATTCCTATTTCACATCCAGTTCCAAATCAATGATTTTACAATTTTGACTATCTTTCTTCAATCATATTTTACACTAAACAAATCTGAAGAATGATGGTAAAATGTTTTCATCATTAGTATCAACCATTAATCATTTTAATTAGTACATAAAATATTTAGACACTCAGTTACCCAGAACTTGTATTAAAATCACTGCTAAATCTCATTCCTGTTGGTGACAGATACTAATAAAATGTAAATAGATGTATCATATTTTCAGAGATTGAAAACATGTGGAAAATTATATAAAGCACTTTTCTTCATTTAGATATAGTTACACGTATATTGCACATTTAACTACACAGCACTGATAAATAAAAAAAAATTGAAGGATGTGTTGGGCTATTACAAATGTTCAAGGTACAATCAACTTTACTCACTTCAAAATTCATAAGATACACCTGTTCGTCTTCATATTTTTTAATTTCAACTTTTTAAACCAGATATTATTTTGTTTTATTACAGCAATATTTGATTAGGTAGAAGTTGTTTCAACAGCAAAAAAAAACATTTTCATTCAACAACAAACAAAAAAAAACATTTTCATTCAACAACAACAAGAACATTTTTTATTCAACAACAACATTTTTCATTCAACAACAGCAACAACATTTTCATTCAACAGCAACAAGAACATTTTTCATTCAACAACAACAAGAACATTTTTCATTCAATATAAATCCAAGTTTTCACATCCTTTCCCATCAAAGTTTGTTCAACTAAAGTTTTACTTCAGAAAATTCACAGATAATGGTGTCCAGTAAATAATTTAAATAATGCAAAACTCTTAATTACTTTATTTCTTGGGGAGAAATTCGTTTTCAAACCATCACTGTATTACTTTATATGACCAATAATTTATCATCATCTATTTCTTTTGTATGATTAACTCATATTACTTCCTATCATTTACACTAGCTTTATTTAATTTTTTACATCTTACAAATTAATTTGAATAACCTACAAGCTGATATTTTTAGATGATTCCTCTTTAAAATATTAGTTATCAGTCAACTTCATAATTCATAGATTTAAAAGCATAAAAAATGGGCTGATAGGTGTAGTTCACTAATTCTTATCTTCATCTGTATTCATACCAAGAAAATAAATTGTTTAAGTTCGTTCATGCTTCATCTCTCAAAAATATTCTGTGTACTTACACTTTACAGGACAGAATTGCAGACTTTGAACTGAAAAAAAAAATCACAAGGGGGGAAGCAGAGAACTTTTACATAAGGGAAAATAAAATTTACAGTAACATAACAGCAATTACGATGTAACGCTGAACTTAAGTAAATGTACAACCTTTGAAAGAAGCACACACATCTCCAGTCTACAGAATTATATTGAACTTACTACCACACAACTACTACCGTCAGAAATCCCCAACAGATACGACCGCCCACAGCTACTGCGGAGAAAGTTCAAACACGCCCCAGGGTAAACGAGCGTCTCGACACAATAACCTGTCGGTAGTTCCCGTGCTCTTACAATGTAAAAAATTTTTGCGGCCCGGAAAGTAAGAAACATTAAAAAAAGTTAACTTTGGTATAAGCTAACACACACATACGCTAAACACACTCATTTAGCAATGATTAAAAAAAACAACAGAAAACTTGTTATACTGCCTAAAATAATATAATAGTAATTCGAAAAGTGTTTTATGTTTTATATGGCTACAAAACATACCCCAAATTAATCACGATGTAAATAATTCATAAGATCAAAAAATTTTGTAAATCATATTCAAAAAACGATTAAATCAAAGCACTTCTGTTAGGGGAACCTATATTCTTCTATTGTTTGAACACGAAATGCTTAAAAACAACAGAACCCTCTCTAAGTTCTGTTTTTTTTCAATTTAATGCATTTCTTATGTTTAAGTATCATAAGCATTATTTATATAAGCTTATGGAAGTTGTTTGCTAACGAATCTTCGAAAACACTATAATTAACCTAAGAGCACTTATCTTGTTTTATAACCTATGTCATTTAAACTTAATCAAACATAATTTACGGAAATATTTTAAACTGCCGATTACAACACCCTGGATAGAAATACAGGATATTCCTGCGTTGTATTGGTATGGTTGTATTTTTAATTCTTTGTCCTTGATGTATCATTCAACTATGATGGCTAATATTTTTGTTCTTATATCTAATTAACGTAAATCAAAGGGCGTTTTTTTTCTATAGCTTTAGTGTGCAATTAAAGAGCGAGCAACAAACCCTATCAGGCCATGATAAAGTGCTATTTAGATTATGTTTTGTGTAAATAACGTTGGAATACCCGCATCTAAGGAATACATATTGAAAAAACCCACATTACAAACCCTACACACCCCAGACGTACTATAGAAAAGAGGCCAGAGGTATAATATGCTAAGCATTGCCATGTTTTCAAATTTCAGAAACTTCTCAGTAGAGTACAGCCAGGGCTGGATTAAGGAGAGGAAAGCGGGTGCAATTGCCCCAGCCTCTCCACCACCCCCAACCCCCTGCCTAAGAGAAAAATATATAATTAATAAGAAACTGGATGTCTCATTGACAAAAACATGTTATAAATTGTGTCACTACGATAGCAACGATTTTAACTTTTTCATATAAGCCTATTAATTTGTTAACGTGTTCTTCAGTCCTTTCGTTCATAAATATTTGCTTGGCCCTTTAACAAATACAACTATTATCACTACTTTGTATTATACATATTGGGATTGGGATTTTGCATATTATCAACCCATCGCTTATCTTTCTCTATGGCTCAAACTGTAGTTAACAAATAGTATTGAATTATATTTGATTTATATTTGCCTCGGTACCCGAAGCCTTTAATCCTACCCTGGCTATAGCTGATACTCAGTTATATACATGCAATATTTTATAAAAGTTTGAGGTAGAGCCTCCTGTTATCAGCCAAGAGTTAAAGTACGTGAGTGTGAGTCGCTCAACTTTCATTAATAACTGCAGTGCTTAAAGCTATGAAATATACACATATATATCCTGTTTTAAACTCCCTTGAAAATCGTGTGGTACAGTGACAGAAGTGACAAAACTACTTGTACCTGTTTAAAAAATAATAGTTGTATCATACGACTGCACTTTAAATACATTATAAAAATTATGAGGTCTGAAGATCATGTCAGAATTTATTAGAAGTCTTGTGGGTTTATCCAAGTATGATAACATATATCATAGTGATTATGCTTTAACAAGATCTGTCTGTATGACGAAGTTTTGCTAATCGTATTGTCATGTAGTGGTAAAACAAACGTATGAAAATACCTACATATTTATTACGATATTTTAGAACATTGGAACAATACGCTCTTTTAAAAGGCTTGATATTTTTCGCGATAATGCGATTCGGGATAAAACCTAGTACGTCTCAGAAAATACCCTTGTGGTATCAGAAAAAGAAAGACAGTAGTGTGGGATGTAACATGAGATCAGACACACAAATCTACAAGAGATAATCAAATATGTATTTCCGTGGGCGGAACAGGTCGGCACTTTTTAAACCGGTTCTAATACCCTTACAGAGAGCACTGGTGTCAACAC